TGGAGACGGAGAAGCGGGTGGAGGAGGAGAATTGGGACGGGCTCAGACGGAAATGGGAGGCGGGAGTGGCGCCGTTCCCCGACGGCGTTATCTTTGTGGAAGAATTAGATGATGATAACGGTGACGGAGAGGGTAGCGGTAACGACGAGAGAGGGGATGCGATCACGAGGGCGTGGGGGTTAGTGGTGCAGGGGAGGGGGGAGGAGAGTGCGCCTGCCTGTTACTTGTTGAAGACGAGTAAAGTGGATAGCGGGCCGGGTTTCGGGCTGGGAATGGGTTTGGGTTGCACTCATTTCTGTTTGGTTCGGGTCAATAGTTTCAGGGAGAAGGCCCAGTCGCAGCTCAAGAATTGTTGGCTATTGCAGTCCCAGACCCAGGCCCAGGCCCAGGCCCAATGAAACTAATTCCCTTTCCATTCCAGCACAATTGTAAATTAATACCAAATTGATTGATCTCTCCAGAAGAAAACAAAATGTAAAAAAGGGAGATGAATTGATGTTAAGTTGAATGATTTAGTTCATGATGATTATGATATACCAAGAAGAAAGCAATTTACTAGAAAGGTAGAAACTCATTTCCTTTGGTTTTTGTTTGTTTGATTATTTTAATTATATTCGAATTTAGGGGCGTATGCAATTGAGATTTAGGTTTTTCGCATTAGATTTGGCTGTGAAAGTACATGGGGATCTCTTCTATAAAAAAAGGTTGATGAATACACAATTAGAGGTAAGATTTTAGGGCAGTTCCATTCACTCTTTGTTATCTCCACACAAATTTGTTAATATTTTTTTTCCATTGATGTTCTTTAATATATTTGATATGATAGCCGGAAATTGAAAACTCTTGTTAAATCTTGTTCATTGATTTTCTTCGATTTGATGGCCGAAAAAATGAAAATAATGTGTGAGGAGATAAAAATGAATGTATAAATAGCACCACCCAAGATTTTAATGTGATGTGAGATAAAGTCCTAATTATTACAAACCCATGATCCCAACACAAAATTAGATGGGTAATAATTTTGAGTGAGGATCCTCAAATCACATCTGTTAATCGTATATCGTACAGTCAGAAATGATTGTAACTTTTTTTATTTAAAATTGAATATAAACAGTACTTAACGAAAACTGATCATACGATACACGATAAATAAATTTGATTTGAGGATCTCCGGGATCCTCACAAAGAGAACCCGACGAAAATCCTCTCTCGATAATTTTGACCACCAATAACCTATCCATGCAACCAAACAATCCCCTAATAAGGAACGAGTGGGAAAAGGAAAAGCATGACGTTTCCCCCTTTGGGCCCAAACCAATAAAAAAACCCCTCCATCCAAAACCTGGTTTGAATTTGAAAACTCCCCACGTTGTTTGCCGTTGTTTAATCTTAAAAGCTTCCTCCCAAATCACAATTTAAAACGAACAACGTTTGTAACTCAGTAGCGAGAGAGTGCGCGCTCTTCTATTTTCTCTGCAAAAATTCAAATTTGATAATCTCGAAATCGAAATAATAATAAAAATGTCCAACGGAGATCTGCCCTCCTGCGCGCCCCCAATCAAAAACCGTAACCCCAGCAACCCCACTTCCCTCCCAATCGAAATCTCCGACATCGCGCTTCCGATTTCTTGATTTCTCCTCGGAAGAACGAAGACTCGTCGTTTTGGGACAAACCCTTTTCGTTTCCGGGTGGAAAGTTTTCAAATTTTCGCGCCCATGAGGTCAGTTTAGTGGTTCTTGCAAAAGGGTCGCTCTGAAAGTTTCGTTTTTTTGAATTGGGTTCGAAGGTTATGGAGAATCGATGCGATTCGGGGAGAGTTTCCGACGGGGCAGTCCCGATACATAGATTCGATTCAAAGGTGGGTTTTTTTTTTTCCTGCGCTTAGTTCAAATCTATGGCATTTATGTTCTGGGTTTTGATTCATTTTATTGGGTTTTAGATTGCTGGCCAGAAGCGAATCAGTACTGAGATGGGACGAGAACGTGAGCTGGGACCTCGCAAACGGCCGAAAATGCGAGATCTTAAGACGGTGTGCCGGTCCGAAGGTAATTTATCTTAAATTTTAGAAATTTCTTGTTGCTGTATTGATTTTATTGGTGTGGAATGTTGTCTCCCTTTTCAGGAATGATTTTGCAATTATTTGGCGCTTAAAATGTTGATTTTTAAACCTATTAAATTTTAATGTTTCATGTGCTTTTGTTGTGCTATAGAAATTGTTCAATTACAAGTACTTGTGCAAATTGCACTCAGTTTACAAGTCAGAGTTTAATGCATTTGAAACCCACTGAAAAGGTATGATTTATCTGAGACTTTGATGTCCAAGATTTTAAGTAGTAAGTAGCTTCATGGGCTTTGCATTTGAGTTGTGTTTGAAAATCATTTGTGAATTCGTTTACTTAACGAGGTTGTTTTTGGTTTGTGATTTGGAGTGGTTTGGGGTTCACTGCTTAACTCCTACTCTTAATGCCACAGGAATTCGGACCGATAATCCAACATCGTTGAAAAACAAGGAATCAAGTGATCAAGTTCAATATGGTGATGATGAGATGTCTCAAGTTACTGAGGTGCCTATAACTTTGAGTGTAGATGCTTCCCAAGCTGGAAATTTTTGGAGAAATACACTGTCAGTACCAGTCAATCATGCTTCTAGACTAGATCTGACTACTGGTGCGTGCATTGGCAAACGTACGGTTCTAAACAACAGTCAGCAATGCACCGAGAGTTTTGAGATCACCTTGCTTAGGGATCAGAGTAAATGTGAAAAGGCGAAAGGCATTGGATTGGATCTCAATGCAGCAGATGTTTCTGCTTCAGAAAAACAAGATCCATTTTATCCTTATAAAAGCACCAATTCCTTGAAGCCAAGAGCTGCCTCTGAATGTGGGAGTTGCACTGGCCCACTGGAAGAGAAAGATCCAATGAATGTTTGGAAGGAGATGAAGCAAAATGGTTTCATATCATCCACTCATGGAGGCATACCGGTGCCAAAACCACGTCCCAAGAAGACTAAAAATGACGAGGTCAAGAAAAAGATGGAATGCGCAAAGAGGGAACAAGTGGACAGGTTCGCGAAGATTGCTGCTCCAAGTGGACTGCTCAATGAACTGAACCCTGGGATTATCAACCATGTCAGGAACAGAAAACAGGTCCGTTCAATAATAGAGTCCCTTGTAAAATTAGAAAGACTTGAAAATGACCGCCTGGGAAACAAGCAAACAACCCATCCGAAGAGTGGAACTTGTGAAATTGGGAACAGGCAGGACGTTGGAAATATGAATGATTCTGCAATACATCTCTATCATGAAAATCAGCCTCCAAATACTGTCTGTCATGACTGGCAGACAAGAGGGCTGCCTATATTGACGAACAAATCTTCTTTGATTCCAGTAGACAAAGGTGGAGATGTTGAACGAACCACAGTAGAGAGGTTTAGTGGTAAAAGTCTTGAATCGCACTCCATCCCTGAAAGAGAGGAAGATTTGCTAGCATTGAAGTTGTCATCATCAATGCAGGCGCCTGAGGATGACAGCCCTTTGTCTAGTGAGGAAACATCATCCTATCTATCTATCAAAGGTCATTTTTTTTCTTCATTTTTTTTTATCTTAAATGTTCAGTAATTTAGGTATACTTTATTAATGCATGAAAGTGGTATAAGTTAGTAGTTAAGTGATGGTTAGGGAAGATCATACATGAATACACTGTTGAAAAAGGTTGAATGTGATATCTGATCTAAGTTTTCGTTCTTTTGCAGCTGCTACCATTGCTTCTCAATGGTTGGAACTTATTCTTCTGGACGTCAAAGGACGTCTTGAAGGTAATGCTCTATCTCTTATATCACTAGTGGATCTCGTTGATGGAGCATATTCTTATCTGTTCTTTATTATGTAACTGCAGCATTGCGGCGCAGTAGGAAGAGAGTTCGAGATGTAGTAACTACAGATTTGCCATCTTTGCTGGCAAAAGAATTTTCACCAGATCAGGAGAATAATTCTCAGATCACGAAAACTTCCGCCCATGGATTTTCTAGATGTGCTATTGCAGATATGCATAGAGCGAGATGGATTCCGCTGTTTGAGCAAATGGACAAAGCACTTTCTGAGGAAGAGGAACAACTTGTGAGTGCTCGAAAAGAAACCTTGAATTCATTTCATAGCTTGTTTATTGCACGCATTTCCTTACAGAACATACTGGTAATAAATTTCAGGAAAGTTGGTCGAACCAAGTAAAAGAAATGCAGCTTCACTGTGACCAGGGCCTGCAACTTGTCCAATGGAATGCTGCTCCCGGCATTCAACATTTCGGAACATCTGAAAATGGTGCCAGGTAAATGTTTGCTTTCATAAATCTAAGCAGAATTCTTCTCAAAAATTGCTTAGAGTCGATTGCAACGCAGTTTTTTCAACTAAAGCAAATGCTGTAATCTTATCATTTGTCTTTTTGTTTGTCTTGCAGACCACTGATGTTGGATAACTCAGAAAGGGCATTAACTGTTAGGGCTGCTGCAGCTTCGATTTACTCGACGTGCAACTTCCTGTTGTCGACAAACGTGCCGTGTTTCTGATCTTGTTCAGGACTGCAGTCCTTCCTTGAATCTCTGTCTAATTAAGTAGATTAGGTTCTTGAGGCTATGTTCATTAAGTGTTTGAGTCTGTAACATTAACATGTAATCTGCCGGCTTTTTCTTGAGATTTTTCACTTTGATTTGGATAACAATGAGATGTCGATTCTCAGCTTCTTTTGAACATTTGAGTTCTAAATCCGTTTGGAACATTTGACGGTTTTATTGGATAACAATGAAGTGATGACATGTAAGTTTTTGTCCACATGTTCTTATTTTATTGGCACGGGACGTGCTACATAAGTTCTCAATTGATCAAGAAAAGAGTTAAACAAAACGTCAAATTCCAGATTAGCCAAATTAACGATTTTCCTGACCAATTTGACGAAACAAGATCACATTAAACACAAAATGAAAAGCAAAGTGCGATTTTCTGCGAAATGCAAGGGGCATATAAGCAAAGAATGGAATATCAACCTTCAAAGGTTTACACAGGATTCAAATACAACAGAGCTCAACATAAAGACACATAGATACATAATTTTTACAATCTAAATTCACATTTGTAGGGGCTTCTATAATTTACAACGCGGAACGTCACCATGTTTGCTCGTGATAAAATACAACTTAAACAGAGGCAGAAACTTCTTAAACAACCAAGTTAGTTATAGCGTGGCATATTGCCGACGAAGTAGTATGGCCTACAGCCAGTTAGGTGCCATCTTGCTTGACGTTGGCTTGGATGTTGGGTCGTCGGCTACCTTGGCAAGGGAGCGATACTGCAATTTCACACTCTCTGCGTTATCCAACGTCTTTACCACATACCTGTTGAAGCAATTTGTGTACATTAAAACAAATCTAAGCCGGCATCTCATTTGACAAAGGTATGTAAGGCAAGCAATATATATCATTAAGGTGGAATAAAACTCGAAATATGACTAACCATCCGTTTAAGCATTGTGTTGTCACAACAGCCTCGCGTCCGACGAAGCGTTGTGGTGTCCTCTTGTTCCCCTGTGACAATATCACTCCAATTATTGGTTCGAACAAACAATGGAACAAGAACGAGAGCCAAGATTGGGACTTTAGTCTGCTAACCTTTATAATAACTCTGTCAGTCACAGCGAACGGAAACTGAACACCTCTACCCCTTGGAGAATCCATGAAAGCTAAATCACCACCACCACCCTTTTCCTACATGAGAAAATAAAGGACTTAGTATTGAGGTTTTGATAATCTTTTCCTCAGTTTTTTTTTAAAACCTAATGATGCAACAGTTTCTGAATCATGAAAAAAGACAAACCTGGTCAAACCTTTCTCTTCTTCTTTTGGATGAGCGATAAAACTGTAACTCTTCTTCCCGACGGAATGCCTGTACAGCAGCTCGAAGAGCTGCACGTGTGAGACAAAACTGTTATACTGGAATGATTTCTAAAACAAATCAATGTTGTACAGTTTGTCATCCGACAGTTATTCTTTCATCCTTTTTTTTCATCTATAGGATCCCCAAAGCCTGATCTTTCCACTTAAATTGTCAATGTTTTTCTTTTTCTACGACACTTGATGATCCCTACGTATTTTACTCCAACGTTTCTGATTCCATCAATCTCTTTGAGAATTCAATTTTTCCACATTTTTCCTACACTGGAGTTTTACTAAATAATGTTTACGTCAGAGAATATTACACCATGGATTCCAAGCACATTAACATTAATTCCTTTTTTTCAGGCTACTGATGCGACTTTGGCATGGAGAAGTTCAGCATGTAACAAACAAAACCAAGAAATCGGGAAATGATTGTGCTGCCTGTTCCATTACATTGACGATGTGCAAGCAGTATAATTTCAGTTACGGTTTGTCAGAAAGAGATGTATTTTGACATGTTAAGGGATTATAAACCATCAATGAAAACTTTTACTTACAAAGATTTGGAGCAATTGAGTCTTCTGAAATCGACTGAGAACACGTGCAGCAAGCTTTCTGGAAATTATGAAAGAAAATAAAACTTCAATTTGACAATCAAAACGAAACAAAAATTTGCAAGTGATAGGGCACAACTTCTTATTGGTTCATAGAATCCCACATGCATGTACCAGATGTACTTTGCAAGCAAAAGGTTCAAAATAATGAATGCAAAAACATATGCTTATGAAGCCACACTAGGTCTCGTGCGTGCAAAATAAATTTAACGAGAGCCTTTTTGTCTTTGCCAAACCATTTAGCAGCAGTAGCTCTCTTCATTGAGTGCCGGCCACGGAAAACAGTTAATGACATGCATATATGATAACTTGTTGGCACCCTGAAGAAATGGAAACAATGAAGGGAACTTTAACGAAAAGCTCCCGATACTGTTCACTTTAACGAAAAACCACATTTTTACACTAAAAAGTCAATCCTGGAACTATTCACTTTACCCTTTATTTTGTCCTTATCGTTAAAACTCAAGTTTTCAAGTCCTTTTCATTAGTTTTCCTACAATTAAAAGCAACAAAAATACTATGGGCCGTGACTATCTTTGTTTCTAAGTTTTAACCCGAGATTGTAATTATGCATGTTATTAGATTTTATGTAGAACCATATGCACATACACAGCCAAAATACAGCAGAGAACATATGTTAGCTTGTGGTCTAGCTTTAGAGGTTGTGACGAAAGTTAACATTCCTAGCAAGAAAGCAATGATGTTTGAGATATATATATATATATATATATATGTTTTTTTGTGTAGGATCGTCCAAATATTGTCAAAGCAAACAGAAACGATCACATCTATATATGAGAGAAAAATGTGTGTCCTACTCCGAGGAACTCACCATTCTCATAACATGCTGAATTCCACCACCTCCAAAGGAATGTCCACAAGGCAATATCATTGCGTCGTCCATCAGACCTCCCCTGAAATTCAACACACAGCAAAGACTCGGTCACAAATTTTATAAATCGATGAATCAAATGCAAAACCAGTATATGAAAAAAAAAAACTCACGTCACAGGATCAGAGAGAATGGCCCTCAAAGAGTCTCCAGACTCGCTCGAGTACATAACATCCTTTCTTCCACTAAGACCACAACCATTTTCCACAACCAAATCCTTCGGAGCAGAACCAGACCCGTCAGAGCCCTGCAGATACTGCGAATAATACATGTCGCCATCCGGTTCAGCAACCGTGACGGCATTGTGGTAATTCCCCAGTCTTCCTTGCTGCGCATTACTACTGGGACTAGCCCTTGTGTTGTTATTCACTGTTTGCTGCCCAGCACTATGTTCTTTCACCAACACTTCTCTACTTGATCCTACTATTACAGTCCCACCTTAAAATTAACAAAAAAAAAAAGAAAGGGAAAACAACATTCCAAAAAATCAAACATTCGACAAAGGTTTCCAAAATTAGAAACTAAATTATGAAACGATCAAAACTTTCCACAAAAATCTCTTACCAAAAGAAGAAAGGTGCTGCTGCTGATGATGCTTAACTTTCCCGTTTCCCATTTTGTCCTCCCCATTACTCCCATTGTTACCGGCAATGCCCTTGTTTCTGCTCTCCACTCCGACAAGCCCGCCATCACCTTCATCATCGTCGTCCACGTCATCATCGTCGTCGTCGTCGTCATCGTCGTCGTCGTCCGATCCCTCGCCACTCGGCGTCGTATCAGCTCCGTTCGAGTTCCAGTTTCGCGGCTCGGGCGGGTCCCGCCGATCCAGGTTCTCGCTATACATGCTCCGCCGGAAGTCCGAGCTCTGTGGCGCGAAGAACCGGTCGTCGATGAACCCGGTGAGCTCGCGGGTCTTGGGACCCGTGTCCCCGACCCGGCGCTGCGGCGTAGCTCCGCAATTGAATCGCAAGTTGTCGTCTTGGAACACGATTGGAGAGTTGAGCCCGTTCTGGGTCGAAACCAGACCCAATTCTTCGGAGGACATGCTTGGGGTTGGGGGGAATTGGGTAATTGGGGAACTGGAAACCCTAATTTGGGGAATTGGGCATGATTTTGGGATTGAAATTAGAGGAAATTAAGCTGCTTTTGGAGGGTTTGGGGAAAGTGAATTAGGGTTTTAGGAGAGTGATTTGGGTGGGAAAAAGACACACTCTACTACTCTAGAGAGTGTTTACTTTGCTCACTTACATGGAATTTAGGGGGAAAGTGAAAAGGTGGAAAGGTTCTAAGATCTGGGGAACTCAGGTGGAAATTAGAAAAGATGAAGGACTTAAAGCTCAAAATTTTAATTGCAATTAGGAACACTGTAAAATTGGGAAATTACAAAATCGTCTGAATTTTCTTCAGAATTAGAATTCTCCTCCTTGGAGATGGTTAAGCATTTGGAGCAGCTGGCCATGTCATCTTGGAACAGTGTCGAATGAATGAGGTGGCAATGGTGTTTGTGTGATGAGACAACAAATGACAGAACTTTGAAGGGACTAAAGGCGTTGACGAGGATTGAGGAAGATGGAGAAGACAAGGAAACCGACACACATACAAACCAAAGCAAGTACAAAAAATCCACACTGACATTGACGTTGACACTGAAATGAATGAGCTGGAAAGTTCTTAGATATTTCGGTATTATATTTCGATCTATCTATCTCTCTCATTACGTGAATTTAACGAATGAACGTTTTATGATTTTCATTTTTCATTTCCTTCGAATGTGGTAAGTTATGAGTATTTTGCAAGTTTGAGGTAAGGGGTTTAAGTTTTTAGAGCCAGTTCTGGTAAAGGCGAAATGAAATGCAACTGCTTTTGGAGTTAATTTGTGGTTTTACTGTGGTACTGTTTGTTGCAATTCAACCTTAGTGTCAATGGTTAAGATGCAATCGTCAAATATGTGTCAATTTTCCCCATCAGTGACTCCACAATCTCTTTACTTTTCGAACGTGGGATGGGACAGTTCTTCACCTTCTCGCATTGGTTTCTCTTCATTTATCGAGAATGATCGGATTTTTATCGTGTGTGAAAGATGAGCGCAATGCATGCTCGTGTATAAGTTATTTTTATCGAGAATGATCAAACCAAACCAGCTGATTAACCAAATTCAAAAAAATTGATGAAAATCGTTCGAGAATCAAAGACCAGCTGAAGGCAATCCTGTGAATGAAAGTTTGCTTCAACTATATTTCCAATGTTTATTCTCAACATTGTTGTGTTGCCTCTGAACTCCATCGCGAAAGCGATCATTTGAATGTTTATGAATGGTTTGGCATGTGTGTGCAGTAATCATGATGTTCTTTTCGGATTTAGTTTTCTTAATAAAACACATTCAGGATCAGATTAGTTTGGTACATGTTCTTGTAAACTGATCACTCTCTTTAACTGATAACCTTGATCAACTTGGTGAAAATATGGCTTGAATCCTTAGGCCATCTCCAACCGAAGGGTTCAAAGGGCAAGAGAGCCGAAAAACGCCTGAAAACCGTCTCCAACCAAAGGCTAGGCCAAAGAGCTCGTGGGCCCCACGGAATCTGAAAGGGCCAAAGGGCTGGCCCAATCCAGACTGACCAGAAATGTGAGCATTCCACCAAATTTTTAAATGCAACGGCTAGCTGACATCAGCTAACCATTATTTTTTATTTTTTTTTACAGGTTTTTTTTTATTCAAATTTTTTTTTGTATAACTTTTATTTTTAAATTCTATTTCTTTCTATAACTTCCTATAACTTCTATTTTACAAAATTTGTTTCGTATTATTTTTAAATTCTATTTTTTTTTCCTATAACTTCTATTTTACAAATTTTGTTTCATATTTTTTTTATATTCGGAAGTGACATCTGAAATCCTCTTCTGTGTACACCGAGTTGGGGTTGAAGTAGTTGTTCATCAGATTTGCATGCGTCATCGCTCTGTTTTGTGGTTTGTAAGAGCGACTAGCAATAGAGCCACCACATTGAGGTTGTTCCTCAGTTGGTTGATGCACCATGGTCGCAACCATGGCTGCTGCTCTGTTTTGTTTGTTGCGCCTTACTTGAACTTCTTCGTCAAACTCCTCATCTTCTTGTCTCATTTGCGCCCATTTTTCTTCCAATTTGGAATTGGATAAGGACCCCCAGTTGAAATCCAAAGAGGATCCAAAGTTGGAATTCATTGCAAACTTGAATTGAAAGAAATTTAATTGGAATAGATTGAATTCAAAGTTGTGTGAATTATAACCCAATATCCACCATATTTATAGCAAAAAAAATTCAAATCCAACGACTAACTGACGTCATGCTGACATCACTTAGCCTTTGGATTTGAATTTAAGTTGTATTTTTTTAATAATAAATTATGTTTGGCCCTATGGTTCTTTAGACCTCGGTTGGAGACGATTTTTTGTGATAAGGCTAAAATGAGCCATATGGCCCTATGGCCCTTTGGCCCTCGGTTGGAGATGGAGGCAAATATAGCCATGTACTGTTCATTAAAATATTAATTTATTGGAGTGCTAGAGGGCTAAAACGAGCCATCTGGCTAGCCTTCGGTTGGAGATGGCCTTATATTTCATGGTTTTAGTAAGCGCTTCGAGCACACTTTTGAGAATTCGAGCTTGCGAGATCAAATTAATCGCAGTTGAAGCATTTGGTTTGATATACTTCTCACCTCCTAAACCCTTGTTTATTTCTTTGAAGCTCTTATTTCTACAAAAGAATTGCGTCCTACTTTGTTGGTGTACACTAATTTTTCTTCAGTACGTGTTTGCACTAAACACAAACACATTGCGAGAAATATAGTAATGTTGGTGTTTAAAGCGGTAGTGTTGATGCTTCAATTGAGTGTAATGCACAATTCCGAAAAGGCAATGCACCACTCCGAACAATGAAACGAATAATGTACTTGGACGATGTGAAAAATGAAATAATAGCATCAAATTGTTAGAGGGCATGTGCTGGTAGGTGATAGAAGGTGGTGCCCCTACCATCAAGGCAAGGCAACCCAACAGCAATAGGCACCAATTTCAACTGCTGTGAGACCAAAAGCTAGAGACTTTTAGTTTTATGAGGACGGACTTGGATTGTTTGCCCTCCCCATTCCATGCCATTACCATGCGTTCTTATATTCTGTGGTCACGGTTAAGTTACGTCAATATTTTATATCAATTTTTTATAGAATTAATAAGACAAAAAGTAATGGGAATATAAAATATTGACATAACTTAATCGTAACCACGAAATAGGAGGGCATGAGAAGGGTATGAAATGGAGAGTCCAGACAATCCTATGAGGACATCATGTTGTTGCCCCTCACCAAAGCAAAAGCATGAACAAAGAAAACTACCAAACAAAAAAGCAGATTTCTTTATTATCTCCAAACAATGGAAGCAGCAAGAAGCAGCTTTTTACAGCTTTTCGTTTAAGTGCTTTTCCCTTAGTTTGTAATTTGAATGGTCCTCCTAAGCATTTAGAAGTACTTAAATTGTGAAAGCAAAGTCTTTACCTTGACTGACTGCCCATACCAAAGCACTTCTTGGGCTTAATGCTCATGTTTTGGTCCCATCAAAGGTAGTGGGTTTCTTCACTTTCAAGAACATTACATGGAAATAAACATTGTGAGAATTAACAAGCAAAAGATAGATAAAAGAGGATGTACAAACGGTAAAAAAGTAGATTAATTTTTCAAGAAACACTTCCAAATAAAAGAATCTCTCTCCGATTCTACATCTCATTCTCCATTCTAATTACGAGAGAAATAGACAAAATGAAATAACCAACCGGTTACAATACAAATTGCTTCTTGAACACGCACTAATAATATTTATATAATTATAAATAAATAAAAAATTAGAGCATTTGATCCTTGTTTCTTTGACCTGCATTAATCATCCAAATCCAAAGAAAATCATATAATTTCTGAAGGAGCCATGTGTAAGGTGATAATTCAAATGCCAATGTATTTATAATTTAATTTAATTAATCTCTTGGGCCCAAAACCATATATTTATTTGGCTGAAAGCATTGGCTAATGGCTAGGGACAACTCATTGGCATTGCTCAAAGTCTATGCACATGGCTATGCAAGTTTATTATATTCTTTGACTACCCTTTACAGATATGGGCGTTGTGGTTGTTAGGAGTGCCACATTTTTTATTGTGCTTTTGGAGATATTTTCTTACGTGTCAGGAATATAGTTTCGTATACTAACGAATATAATATAAATGATTGGATATTTAAAAGAAAAAATTTATAACCACTTATATTATGATTTTTGGTGTATTCAGCTGTGTTCTCGACATACTAAAAAAGTTTATCATGCCTTTGGCTAGAGGAGAGAGAAAGATGAGTTAGACCGTTTTTCTGATTATTTGATAACGACAAGCATATTGATATGTTATCAAGAAATCGGATCTCTTCCATCAAGGCCACCGGATCAAGTGATCTGGATTATTGAAATTTCATCCAACGGCTAAAAATTATTTTAGCTCTTAAAGAGTTAAAACAGGTGGGCCGTTTGATGAAATTTCAAAAGTTCAGATTACTTGATCTATTAACCTTGATGAAAGAGATCCAAAGATGATCGCTTCTCTGTTATCAAATCATCGATATATTTATTAGTGAAGGTTTACATGACAGATAATTAATAACGAGTTCTCGTTTTATTAATTAATCTGACCATTCAGCTGATTAGACGCTCTAACTAAATTTTACCCAAGAGGAGGGGAAATCCATGCAAGTTACCATCAATTCATTGGAAAGAAAAACATTGGGGAGGGTATAAAGAGGAATAAACAAATAGTTTCTGCAGATAAATATAAGATAGATAAATGGGTGGTAAAATATAAAAACATAGCTTCTATTCCGACAGGGAGCTCCCTAATCTATATATATATATATATATATATAATATTAACGTACAATTGTATATGCCCTACCACTTTGGTTTCTTCTTGCTTTTGCATTATTCTACTGAGCTCTTTAGATTTATTTGACTTTAAAGTGGGCACTAAGATTCTCTGGTCTCAGGCCTCTCTACTCACTTTTGACTTCCAGAAATTGTATTTTATTTCCCATCATTGGGACACACATGGGGGCAAGAATAACAACAAACCACCTTCTCAAACGTGTCTTGGGAAGTCAATTCTGTCCTAGACGGGTGCCACCGTGCCGGTATTTTCAACACAACTGCGTTTTGTCGTGCATTTTAACTTTTTCTTACAACGCTATTTGTTTTACCTTTGTCTACAACGCAATTCGCTTAAAGCTTGAAATACCGTTAAAATGACATTCACGTCGATAGCAATCAGACAAACTAAAATGTAGGATCAGTGACATGTTGCGAAAGTTTCCAAGCATTTAGAAGTTGACAAATAGAATCAGCTCTTAGTAAGAAACATGAACGAAGAGAAATTGGAAGAGTTCAGAAGATTAGTCGTGACAATT